TAGGTGTACAGTCCCAAGAGTCTAAAGGGGCCCTTTGAGTTGAAAAATGTGGACCCAGGATTCGAGGCCTTGAAGCTTTACCACAGTGTAGGTGGTGAGAAAGACTTGGTATGGTCCCTTCCAGCGAGACTCAAGGGAAGTCTTTCTCGGATGCCTTTTCCAGAAGATCCATCCTGTGTAACATCCTGTTACTAGACCATGAAAAGTCTGATTATTCCCGTCCAGTGGTTCACAAAAGGTTTCTTTTACCTGGATAAAACAAATTGTGGCATAATGCATTTAGGTTTTACAGTATTTAGTCACATAAGAGTTTAGAAGAGCAGGGGATGCATGCTCTGTCATTAGGGCATAGGTCTCCCAATCACTATTCATAAGGGGTCGATTTCTTTTTTCCAGCAGGATTGGATCTGATTGCCATCAATGCCAATGGTAATACTTTTGGCCAAGGCAACCCAGTTGACTCTGTTAATTTTTCTAATTTTAGTTTTAAAATGCCATTTGCTCTTTCAACTCTTCCAGAAGACTGAGGGTGAGAAGGACAATGATAGTGTCTTTGTGTATATAGCACTTTATTTAACTGTCATATAATTTTCCCAGTAACATGGGTTACTCTATCACTAGAGATTTTTTTTTAGGTATGTCCCATAATGGAAACACATTTTCTAATAATTTCTTAGTTTTTGTCATAGCATCAGCTTTTCTACATTGGAAAGCCTTTACCCACCCCCCACCCAATGCAAATGACTACAGGAACATACTGATATTCCATTGAGGGTAGCAACTGAATAAAGTCCATCTGTAAATGTTTGAATGGTCCATCAGGTGGTGGAAATGTGCAACTTGATGTTCTGATTTTCCAGGATAATGGGTTTGACAAACCAAACATTGGTTATAAATCATCTTAGCAATTTTGGAGCAGGCACTCCACCAATATTTTTTCATAATTTGGATCATTTTATCTGTTCCATGATGAGTTGTGTAGAGTTTTTAACAATGAATGCTTCAAGGACGTGGTAAGAACCAAGTGACCATCCCAGCCCTCTTAACTGAATTTACAACCTTTTGAATGACAGGGTTTTTTAAAAATTTTTTCCAAATTAGGTGCATTGCACATTTTATCAAATAGGTCAATATAAGGAAGTTGACCTGGATTGATTTTATGGAGTTCATTTAAATTGCATGTCCTAACATTGTCAGCACTAGCTGATTTAGCATAAAAATCTGCCAGGGTATTTGCTTGATATTTAGGTTCAGTTTTATGGGTATGAGCTTTAATCTTAACCATGGCAATCTGTGATGGCAATAGGATAGCAGAGAGCAGCTTCTTTACTTGGGGTCCATTTTTTATGGGTTCCCACTAGAAGTCAGAAACCATCTTTGCTTCCATAACATACCAAAATCATGGACTACTGCAAAGACGTATTTACTATCTGTATATGTTTTCACTGACTTGTCTTTAGCTATTTGACAAGCTCAAGTAAAAGCAAAAAGCTTTGCAGGTTGAGCTGACTTAAACTGGAGAAGAGTCCCCCTTTCCACTAGTTCATATTTCGCTAATCATATAACTTGCCTGATATTTTTCTTTTGAATTTTTAGCGTAGGACCCATTAACAAAATGTATTATTTAATGGAGTATCAACAAGAAAGGCGAACTTTTCTGATATAACACTTACATAATTGTCATCTTCACCATTGTCAGGTATCGGTAATAGAGTAGCTGGGTTAAGTAAGGTAACCCAGGCGTTTTAGATGGAGATTAGCGGGATCTCATAAGATGTTAGACTGCTTGCTGAAAAATGTTGGGTTTGATTGGAATTTAATAAAGTTTCCAGAGCTTGTGGAACTCGTAAGTTAAGTTCATTTCCTAAAACTAGCTCAGAGGAATTTTCTACACCTTGGCTGCCACTGTTACTGCCTTTAAACAATTAGTATATGCCCTAGCTATTGGATTGAGCTGTAAACTATAGTATGCAATGAATCTATGTTCCCCCCATATTCCTGCATAAGAATTCCTAATGCTTGATAATTACGTTCATGAACAAACACGGTAAAAAGGTTTAGTGCAATTTGGAAGTCCTAAAGCTGGAAGCTAATTTTCTTTGTTTAAAAGCTTATTCATGACTGTCTTCCCAAGGTAAATGCTCTGGTATTGAGTTTCTCATCAGCTCATGCAACGGTGAAGCTATTAAGGAAAAATTTGGGACCCGGGGCCTGAAATATCCTGCAAGTCCAAGAAGACCTCTCAACTGTCTTTTGGTTGCAGGTTGAGGAAAACTTTGAATAGTTTTTATTCTCTAAGATGAAAGGAAAATTCCTTCAGCAGTCAAGTCATGTCCTAAATAGTGAAATTTTCTCTTGAAAATGGAATGGAAGTTTCTTCCTTGAAACTTTGTGACCTTTATGTGCAAATTGTTGTAAAAGGTAGGCAGAGTCAATTTCAGAATACTCCTTGGTGGGAGAGCATAATAACAGATCATCTATCTACACACTGAATAAGAATAGAATCTCTAGGAAATTGTAAAGTTATTAAATCTTGATGTAATGCACAAGAAAAATATGGAGGTGCCTCAGTAAAGTCCTGAGGCATGACTGTCTACCATGTATACTGTTGATTTTTCCAAGTAAAAGCAAATAAATATTAGCTATTTTTATCAACTGGTATGCTAAAAAGGCTGAGCAGAGGTCTACCACTGTAAATCATTTTGAATCGGCAGGTACATTAGATAATAAAATATTAGGATTTGAAACTACAGGAAATCTTGGAATTGCAATTTTACTAAGTGCACTTAAATCCTAAACAAATCTCCATTCTCATCCATTTGTTTTTTTTTTTTAAATGGTAGGATTGGAGTGCTATAAGGGCTGGTGCATGGAATTATAAGCCCTTGATTAATTACATCTTTTATAATTGGTGAGAGCCCTTGAATTGCTTCAGGTTTTAAGGGATATTTGGGTAATTTCCATAAAGGTTTAGATTGATTTACTTGGACTTTTATAGGCTCCGCACTTTTAATCTTCCCCTAAATGTCCTTTTAATGTCAGTTGAAGAAGAGGCCCACAAACATTCGGTATTTTAGAAAGGCCTGGATTATTGGGAACCAGCAGTTAGTGTAATGGCTATGTCGCTGGACTCTCATGTAGTCGACTGTGGTTCGCGTCCCAGACCCGGTGGCTTAGAACTCATGCCGGGTGCGTGTGTGTGCGTTCCCAAGATCCTGAGAGGAGAATGGAGGAGAAGGGATTGCGGCGTGACCATCCCCCCGGGGATGATTTCTCGCTTTCTGTCTCTCTGTCTCTCTCTGTCTGTCTGGCGAGCGCATGTGCCCTATAGCAAAAACCTCTCTCAAAAAAAAAAAAAAAAAAAAGGCCTGGATTATTATAGGCCTTTGTTTCAGTTTTATCAATTTCTGCCTGCAGGGAGCATAATAATTTTGGATCTGGAGAATCAGACAGTCCTAGGATAACCTCTACCTTTGAGGAAAATTTTATATTTCCCTTTAGCTTTGGAAGTAAGTTTTGCCTTAGTAAATTTATTGGAGCAGTGTTGCATAATAAAAAAGTTTATTTTTCTGAAAATGACCCTAAGGTCAATTGAATAGGTTTGGATATGGGAACCTCTTTTTTTTTTTTCTTTTTTTGAGAGGTTCTTGCTATAGGACACATGTGTTCACCAGAAAGACAGAGAGAGACAGAGAGACAGAAAGTGAGAAATCACCTTCCAGGGAGGATGGCCGTGCCGTAATCCTTTCTTCTCCCTTCTCTCAGGATCTTGGGCATGCACACACATGCGCCTGGCATGAGTTTAAGCCACTGAGTCTGAGACTCGAACTGCGGTGAGTCCAACGACACAGCCTTTAGCCTAACTGCTGGTCCCTGAATGGGAACCTCTTTAACTTGATTTGAAACTGCCACTATTGAAATGACCTTTTTCCTCTGAGGGATTTGTTGGTTTATTAAAGTGGGGTTTAGTGTACATAAAGTGGCTCTGGTATCTATCAGGATTGTACAAGTTCCCAATTTGTTTTAACCTTAGTTTCCCCATGTTTATTTAAGGGAATTACAGGGGACAACTTACTGGCAAATCCCTCCACATCTTGTCAATGTTCATTATTATGAGAGTTAAGATCTCTTGAGTTCTCTTGAGTGGTGCAAGTGTCTGACCTAAAGGGAGGGAGGTGATTGATGGACTGATGTAGGAGTGGACATATAGAATTCTCTTTTCAGTATATGTCTATTTAGAAAGTTATAATCCTTGGGGCTAGCAGGTGGTATGGTGGTGAGAGCTTTGTACTCCCACTTGACTGTTGCTCAAGTCCTGGACCTGGCAGCTTACTTTCTCACTCCCTGCCCCTAACCCCATCTCTCTCTGGTGAGTGCATGTGCCCTGCAGCAATTAATTAATGATAATAATAAATAAAATCAAGTAAATAATTGTTTAAAAAATAATTAAGAATTATGTATTTAAAACTGAGTGCCTTATAATAAAAATTCTCCAAGTCTTTCTTGTGTAGCATGTCTACAAGTAAAGATAATTTTTTTTTCTAACACCATATTTAGAGATGCTTAAAAGAATTTAATTCCTGAGGCTGACAGGAGGCGTAGTGGTAAAGGTCGTGCACTCTCATGTGGCCAACTGCAGTTTGAGTCCTGGACCTTGTGGCTTGAAACACACTGAGTGTGTGTGTGTGTGTGTGTGTGTGTGTGTGTGTGTTCCCAAAATCCCAAGAGGACAATGGAGCAGAAGGAACTAAAGTGTGGCCATCACCCTTGTGGAGGGCAGGGGTAGTTATTTCTCATTTTCAGTCTCTCTGTTTCTCTGACAAGTGCATGTGTCCTATAGTAAAAATCTTTCTCTAAACACACACACACACACACACACACACACACACACATTACTATTTTAGGATGAGTAATATTATTTACGGTTTGCATATTTGGAATGTTGTTCACTGGTGGTATGTGTATGAAAGGAGAGCTGTCTCCTTCTCTTCTCTCTTCAGATATGGTCCTTGACCAACAAGTCAGCTCGGGTCAGCTGAACGAAGATATACGACATAGGGTCCATGAGGCACTGATGAAGCAGCATCACCACCAGAATCAGAAAAAACTTACCAACAGGATTCCTATTGTTCGTTCCTTTGCTGATATTGGCAAGAAACAATCAGAACCGAATTCCATGGATAAAAATGGTAAATATTTCTTTATTGTGCTTTCTGTACCTATTTTAGGTCTCTGAACTATCAAAGTGCATCTTAATCTTTTTAAGCATTTTATTGGAAAATGATTTATTGAAATTTAGATTATTGCAGTACAATAATTTCTTTCCATTTGTATATACATATATAGCCTTATTGTCAATCATCACATTGTAGAGATTTTAATAAAAAAAGTTTTCTGAAAAGCCCCTGAGAGAATGCAAAGAAAATCAATCAAGCAAAATCTTATGGATTTCAATGCAGCATACATAAATGGGGCTTCTATTGTATCGCAAACAAGCTCTTAGAATCTGTCTCACAGCTTGTGAATTAATGCTTTGACTTATCCTATAGATTTTTTTCAAGAATTATTTTAGTTAACTTTATTTATTTATTTTAACTTGACCGGAGAGGGACAAAGAGAGAGAGAGAGAGAGAGAGAGAGAGAGAGATGGAGGGAGAGAGAGAGAGGGAGAGAGAGAGAGAAAAAACAAGCTAAAAAAGGAAGCCACCACGTCTGGGACTTGAACTGCAGTAGGCCATGTAGGAGTCCAGTGCCTTAACCACCTGCCAGCCCCAAGGAGCTTGGGCTATGGACAAGATTTAATTGATTCCTCAAATTTCATTGGGTTTAATTATTATACACATAATTATATTGCATTTTGTTTATGAGGGAGGAGGGTATGGAATTTATTGGATCAACCATTTATTGTAATATCATGCAGTTCCAGATACACTGTTTGTTATTGCTTTAAACTTCTGTTAAACATAAGAAGGGATGATAGAATTATAGCTGTGAATTACAAGTCTGCATACACACATACAAACACACACACACACACACACACACACACACACACACAAATTTTCCCAAGAGCCTGCTTTTTGTCTTATTCAGGAAACGGTTTAATTTTTCTGAGAACTAAAATCTGAGTGGTTCTGAAGTGATTCTGTTGCCATCTGTACAATCAGCCTTTATCTGAACACATACAAATCTTTTCGAGGCATACGTTAGGGTAATAAAAACTTGGAAACATTTCTAATAGGATTCACATACCCAATTAAGTATTGTTGTAAAGTATGCTGTCAGAAGTGGTTTTCTAAGCCTAGGCTTATAACACCTCCTTATGACTCTGTTTTGCTTCCTCACACACTTTGCATAATTATGTGTGTTGAGAATTCTGAAAATATGTATAGACTTCACCAATTTAGAAATAAACCTCCTGCCCAGAAGTGAAAAAGAGTGAGAAAGACCTTTATTACTAAGGTTTTCAATCTACTTATGAACTCCCAAAACTGACAAACTCTAGATAAACAAACAAATTGAAACTCATAGCCATAAATATAAATTAGACATTCTGTTTCAAAATATGTAATAGAGATTTAAATTTTTTGCATAGTAGTAAAGACAGATGCAAAATAATTTCAAGACAACTAAAAGGATGAAAATAATATTGTTATTTAAAAAAATCTCTTCAGTGAAATATTTCATGCAAAAAGATTGACTTTTAGTATTATAGAATAGAAATTAAATAGAGCAAAGAATTTCTTGGAAGTTGAAAACAGAACATATATTCTTTCTCAAGCATAAGGATAGATACTAAGTTCCCTCTTCTTGTTTAATATGCTTTTTATATTAGAGGTAAAATGATGGGAATACCCTCAAAAATGAACATGTATGCTTATGTAAGGAAGTCTAAGCGTCATATAGAATAAACTTTCTACTTCCTTAATTAACTTGTTCCTTGAGCATACTACTGTAGTAGTACTCCCAAGGGTTAAACATACAATGTCTGTAAAGGTAGGTCTTGACTCCTCCATGGATTAGATTAACAGAAGACTGTATTTCCCTCCCTCTCCTCCCAAGTCTGCCCTCTTTTGTTCATACCTTTGTTAGTGACGTGATAATTTGTCAACCTCACCTCCTAATACACTAGTTTACTTTTTTTTGCATATTTTTTTTTCCTTAGTATTCTGCACTTTCTCTGAAGGGTTATGATGCAGGATGCTATGGATTCACCATGCATTTTTAATGCCACCATGCTGTGTTTAACTTTCACTTTTCATTAAGCATCAAAACTGTGAGAATTAAATGCCTGATTGTGATGTTTCAATAAAAAGTGACAGTTACATTTGGCAAAACAACAGTGAAAATAATAGAAAAATAATACCCTACTTTGACATTAGAACCCTGAAAATGGTATGGATAGAAAGTTTTCAGAATACATATATCAAAGATATTCAAATGATTCATTGAAACTAGACATATGTTCTAAAAATAAGACTTTTGTGTTAATTGATCTAGAAAGCCAAAATATCAGTGTTTGTATTTATCATTTAGGTCATGTATTCAGTTACATTTTGAAACCTTGAGATTACAAGTCTATTATAAAATACGATCACTTTTAAGATAAATCATATGTATTTGAACATAATTTTGGAGTCTTAGCTTCACTAGAGTGTCTCCATTCCAGTCTGTCCTTTATTAATATTTTCTAACTCTGCTCCTTTTCCTTCACATATCTTATCTCCCTCCTAACCTGAACACTTTCCAGTTATACCTTTTATTTAGGGTGTCAAGAGGCATTACAGAGCAGAAAATTTGTAACTTCCTCTTCAAAGCCATAGATTACTGGAAAATATTTAGATTTGGAAGGATGGGATATGTGTTCACTCTTGAGGCCTGGTTAAATTCCAGTCCTTAAAGCAATGTAGACTATGTGTGAATGATTTTTATTTATCGTTTGGAAATCAGGTTTATTGTCTTATATAGATAATCACATTTTTTAAATTTAGACATGCTTTTTTTTTATTTTCAAGTGCATGATGTTTATATGTATTTAGAAATTTATATTTTTCCTTGCTTTTTAAATGCTGTGGTTCCATAAATAAGGTAAACAGGGTTTAAAATTAATTTTTCATAATGCTCTACCTTTGAAGAAAAAGGTAGAATAATAATTTTAAGAACTGCTTGAGAGAAAACATTAAAAGATTCAAGTGGATAAAAGTCTTAAACATTGTTTAATAAAGATATTTTCCACTGTGTCAAGAAAATCAAGATGAAATTATCAATACAATTGATGGATCTGCCTAGACACTGTATCATCAAGACTGGGTTTTGAAATATCAATAGTAAACATATTTCTAGTATGATGTGTTTAATTTGTTACTTCTAATATTACATTAATTATTTGCAGGCATACTAATTTTTCCCAAATTTAATTATGTGCATACTTTACATGTTTTTGAAGTGTAGCTCACCTAATCAACATTTTCTAAATATTTAGCTCTTCTTTCTTCATATTTTCTATTCCCATGAATAAATGTATTGTTACACATATATGTAACTTTGTCATTCATTTTTATATTTCTTTATTTTGCTCTGTCTTGTGTCTGTCTCTAACAGGCTCATCTCATCTCTGTACCTCCCTCATCTCCTACCCTTTGGGTACTCTAAATGCGTTGAAGGTTTCTGAGGTAGTGTAAACAAGCTTGGTCTCTAGGTTAATAGTAATATACTTCCATGTCTTCATCCCAGTTTCCTTCTAGTATACATGATTTACAGTGTATTAAGCAGTAGTAATGATACACTTAAGTGATATATTATTCTATTGATTTGAATTTGACAAATACAAATGCAAAAGTGGCTGTTTTACAATATTTATATATGTGATTTACTTAAGAGAACTATGAACTAATATAATACTCAACACATTATATCAGAAATATTTACAGTTGTGTTTCAATATTAAGGTGCTTTAATGAAACGGACATTACGTAAAGTCATGGGACGGTACTTTTGATGTAATTGCATGTTCTGCCCACAATTTTATGATGAAGGAACTGACCATGCCAGTTTCACAACAGACTTAGTGAAAATGTTATGGTGTAAAAGGCAGAGAAGCTGGGCTTCCATTTTTCAGTGAGTAGTCACTTGAAATTACTCCCAGTGTTCTCCCATACTTGCCCCACATATTTTATACTTTGCCATAGAAAAAGGCACAGTCTAGAATAACTTTTTATCTGACTAATATGTAATTCCAACATGGAGGTCCAAAGGAAAAAGTGAATGTATAACTCAAAGAAAATGAATTAAGACAAGGACTTATTCATTTATCACATGATAAAATATAAAACAAGTGGCAGAATTTGGGATTTAAAACAAAGAACTCTTTAATTTTAAAATGTCAGAAAATAAGTTTTTGTGGCAAATAGAGAAAGATGATGTTAGGTTTCTTGGATATTTAGATCGAAGTGGTCATAGATGCTGGTTAATATTAAAGATAAATGCACCTTTTATCAGTCGTTGAATAATTTACCCTGAATGTAACAATGTTACTAAGTTAAAAAAAATGTCCTTTTTCATAGTTATCTATATGCCTCAAAATTTTCTGGATATTATAATAACAGAACTAATTAAACAATGACATTCACTTGTAGGAAATATTAATATGGGTAATGGACAAACAGAAAGTATTATTGAATAGAAATAGACAAAACTATTTATGTTGCAAGCATTGTGACATAATGACTAGGAAGAACTATCACAATTAGCATTCATACAGCTTCCACACATCTTTAAATGCTAAATCTTAACTTTATACTATGTATTTTGTCCTGGAAGGGAAAATACTCTAGCAAACTCTTTGCCATTCTATTAGAAAACATATTCACTTGTGGTTGAAAGTAAAATCCTGTACCTAAAAACTCCTATCCTATGGATTGTATTACCTTAGACAGCAAGAAAATAAGAATGCTCTTTCAAAACCTAAATATATTGATTCTTCTTATGTCATAGTGGTGGGGTTAATGAAACTAATTTTTAAATCCAAGTCCATTTTCTTCTTCTGATAAGCAGTAGTAATTGGATAAAATGAAGAAATAAGTACTTAATTAGACAAATCTTATAAAGGATAAAACATTTTTAAAAATATGAGGTTTTCGGTAGTTCTATGGATCACAGTTAATGTGTAAATTTTAATTTTATATATATAGTAAATACATTTCTTTTAAATTACCAAAGGGTGAAAGCACTCATTAGATAGAGGCAGAAAGAGAAATAGAGGCAGAAAAAATGTGAAAATGAAAGAGAAGAAAAAATATCCCCCAATACATTACAATTCCTTCTCCATTTTCTTCATCCTGCCCTTTAAACTTTGCAGGACTTTTGATGCCACAAATATACTTAACTACTATTATTTACAACAATTATTTAGGTACTATTTCAAAATTTAAAAGACATGAAATTGGTAGTTTATATTTCCATCCCATAGGCTAGTAGTGTTTATGTGTATTTTAGCCTAGGTTCTATGTACATAACTAGAATCTAGAACTGGAAATTTACATTATCTAGAATGTCTTTTGCTAGTTAGATACTTGGCTTTTTTTCTTCTTTTAACTATAAGGTGCATGTGCTTACCAGAGAGAGACAGAGAAAAAAACAGAGAGGAAAGCACCACCCTTGGGGGAATGGTGACGCTGCGATCTCTTCTCCTTCATTTCTCCTCCATTTTGGAATTTTGGGCACATATACACGTGCTCCATGTATTTTTCGAGTCACTGAGTCCAGGGCTCTTATTGTAAGGTCAGCCATGTGGCATCTGGCTGTCCCAATCACTTGGCCACAGAGTTGCTCACAAGTTAAATACTTTCAATTAGGTCATATTGCTATCACTTAAAATATTGATAGAAAATAGTTTCTAAATCCTTTCCTGATTATCAACTGTATAAGGTAATATTTTGTGAAGTTTTTATCATTTTAGAACAAGAAAAACATAGAACAATAACTATCAAAAACATTTTAATTCTTACATTTAATGTTAATATATTATTACAGTTATTTATAAGAGGAAATATAAATGCTAATGTTTTAAACATACTGCATGAGCAGAAGGTAATTCATGAAATGTTCTGCTTAAAGTATACAAATGAAAACATAAGCCTTTCAATTTCTTCAAATTTTAAATTCTAGCATATTTTCCATCCAATTCAATCTCTTCAGACTTGACGAGTTTGCACTGGACTGCCTCTCTTTTTGTATGTGTTTGCTGATAGAATTAAATAATTGCTCTTCCATGTGGTTTTATACCACATGAAATAAGTTATTGTAAGAAATCAGATTTATGTTTACTTAATTTTTCCATGACTTGTCTTTCACCATTCAATTTTGCAGAACATTCAATAAATTTAGATTTAAATATATCTCATGTTCTAACACATGAAAATATGGAGAAATGATGTGAAACTGGTGATCGAAGACATCTATTAGTAGTGCAAATGCATTATATAAAAGGTTTTTTAAAAAATTAAAGTTATTATTTTGAGAATGGTAAATTGAATGGCTGCTAATAAATAGCTCACAGTCATAGCTGCGTATTGCAGGTAAAAATGGGAGAATTAAAATAATTTATATGGCTTCACTGACATTTCTCTGACCTGTATGTATTTCCCTGGATATGCTATATTCAGAATGTGTGTACATGGTTTGAAGTGAATTTGCTTTAAAAAGTAATTTTATTTTTATTTTGACCAAATGTATTATTTTACTTTGTTTAGTAAAAGCAGAGAAATATTTAATTTCCAGAACACTGAAGCCCATTACTTTTTGGCAATATAACAATTTTAAACCATGAAATTGTACTTATTAATAAATCACTCCATCCAAGAGGTTTATTAGTCCACAAATCAAAGTTATAGTAATATTTGAAAGTAAATAATTAGTATTTTAAATCACACGTTGTAATTTCTTAAAAAAAAAAAATTACCAGAGGACATGTGTGATGGTTGGAAAGAGACAGAGAGAAAGAAGGAAAACAAGAAAGCTCCTCCCACGGGCATGGTCACATCACATCTCTTCTCCAGTTCTCTCTGCTTTCAGGATTTGGGGCATGTGTTCACACATACCCAGTATGTTTTTCAAGCTGTGGGATCCAGTTTCTTTAACCACCAGTCCATGGGCTGGCCTTACTCTTAGCAATTTCTTTCTTTCTTTCTTTCTTCCTTCCTTCCTTCTTTCTTTCTTCCTTCCTTCCTTCTTTCTTTCTTCCTTCCTTCCTTCTTTCTTTCTTCCTTCCTTCCTTCTTTCTTTCTTCCTTCCTTCCTTCTTTCTTTCTTCCTTCCTTCCTTCTTTCTTTCTTCCTTCCTTCCTTCTTTCTTTCTTCCTTCCTTCCTTCTTTCTTTCTTCCTTCCTTCCTTCTTTCTTTCTTCCTTCCTTCCTTCTTTCTTTCTTCCTTCCTTCCTTCTTTCTTTCTTCCTTCCTTCCTTCCTTCCTTCCTTCCTTTCTTTCTTTCTTTTTCTTTCTTTCTTTCTTTTTAAGAGAGGCTTTTGCTGTAGCATCCATGGGCTCGCTGGAAAAGCAGTGAGAGACAGAGAGATAGAAAGCAAGAAATTAGCCTCCAGGGAGGATGGGCATGCTGCAATCCCTTCTCCATTCTCCTCTCAGGATCTTGGGCACACATGCACATGTGCCCGGATGAGTTTAAGCCTCCAGGTCTGGGACTTAAACTGTGGTCACCTATATGGGAGTTCAGTGACGTAGCCATTACGCTATCCTGCTGCTTTCTACACTTAGCAATTTCTAGGTTACAAAAAGTGAGTGGGATTTGGGGAGAGAATTTAAGAAAAGGTTTATTTATTTATTTATTTATTTATCTGCTGCTTTCTACACTTAGCAATTTCTAGGTTACAAAAAGTGAGTGGGATTTGGGGAGAGAATTTAAGAAAAGGTTTATTTATTTATTTATTTATTTATTTATTTATTTTTTAACGCACTAGGAATTTAGAAAAGTTTGGATAGAGACTACAGTAATTGTTGATGAGACTAAACTTTGAATAAAATTGTAGTGGAGTAGGTAGAGAGAAGAACTAGGGAGAGAGTGTTACTAACATGTAGGACAGATGAAAATAAAAGCAGTATGTTGGACTCACTGAGTTATGATCATAAATGTGGCCTAGGTTTTAAGGTTGCATTGTCATTACTCATTTCACAGTAAAAGTGAAGATGGGGAGAGTTTAGGGAAGAAGAGAGGTATGTGTGAAATTAAATTACATGTTAATTTTTGTCATTTAGTTGGTAACTATGGACAGATTTCAGATGACTTGTGATTGCATGAAAGGATTCATATTTAGTGAATTATGGAAGTTAATCTTTTCTAGCCATTTATCGTCACATTCTCAGTTCTACATTTATGTTTTTCAGTGTTAATGGAAAATAATACAATTCAAGTTTATTGATTATTTTCTTGTACTGAATACCAATATTAGTATGCTTATGCAACTGAATAACCTCAGGCATACAATCATATTAACAGTGTTCATATTGTGTGAAATATAGGTATTTCTAACTACAGACCTGATCTAGAAATCTCTAAAAGTTATTGACAAAGAACTTGTTCTAATTAGTTTGTCTTTTTAGATGCAATAGAACCTAAAAATATAATGTGTAGTTTTCAGATAAACATTTATCCTTTTAAAAAACTTTATCTTTGAGATTCTTCAATCTATATCTTTGAAATTCTTCAATCTGAAGTTAAATCTTAGTAGATGTCTAGATTACCTTTTTAATGTATACCATTAATTCTGGTTGAAATTTAGAAATCAATGATATTTTGAAATTAAGGTTAGATTTAGATATTTTTGTAGCTGATCTTTCCTCATAGAGAATAACCTTTTAGAGTTTTTAAAAAATTGATTGACACATACTAATTGTGCATATTTATAAGGTACAGTGTGTCTTTTGATACATGAGTACAACGTGTAATGATCAAAGCAGTTTAATTAGCATATCCAACACCTCAAATATCCTTACTTTGTATTGGGAATATTCAAAATCCTCTCTTCTAGTCATCTGGAAATGTACAATCTGTAGTTAACCTTAGGCATCCTATTGTACTGTAGAAACCCAGAACTGATTTCTCCTACCTAATTAACTTTGTATCCATTAATTAGCAAGTCCTCTCTCCCCCTCCCTTGCTTCTCCCAGCCTCTGGTAACCACTATTTTACTCTCTTCTAGGAGATATATATATATTTTTGGCATCCATAAGTGAGTGAGAACAGGTGATATTTGTATTTCTGTGCCTGGTTTATTTCACTTAACATAATGTCCTCCAGGCTCATCCATGTTGGTACAAATATTTGCAAACTATTCATCAGACAGGGATTAAGATAGAGGATATACAAGAAACTCAAAGAACTCAGCAACAAAATAATAATAATATTAATCTGAATCAAAATGGAAAATTGATCTGAATAAACATTTATCAAAAAAGTTTCAATTTGAAAGCTGGTTTACATTTTTTGAATGAATTCTCCCATTTCTATCTGTAACTGAAAAGTAAGAATTTTTATACTGATACAGATCTATTTATGTTGACCTTTCATGCTTACATCATAAACTCATTAAGAAACCTATGTTAGTCTAGCTTAATTCAAGTTCATGTGTCACTGAATATGTCTAAAACTATGTAAGTAATTGTTTGTATTCTGTAATAACAATCTCTTTTAGCAGGTCAGGTTGTTTCTCCTCAGTCTGCTCCAGCCTGTGTTGAAAATAAAAATGATGTTAGCAGAGAAAACAGCACTGTTGACTTTAGCAAGGTAAGAGTTTAGCCCTCTCATCTAAGTAAGCTGCTACATTCTTAGTAGAAATTATTACCCATTTTAAGAGGTGTTGACACATATTTTTGCATGCACGTTTTGGTTTTGTTTCTTAGTAAAAAGCTTGATATTGTTACAGATAATGTTAGCATAAAGTCCACATGTAATGTTCTAGTTATTCAGAATACCAAACATGTAAGGTTTATGCATAGTCTTCAGGTTTCAGCCACTTGGTGTAATGTATCTTTTCCAATAAAGAGGGTAGAAAGATCTCAGAAAAATTTAACAGAAGTTTACTCTATTGCTTAAAACTTTGCTAGTTTTGTTTTTCCAAAATCATTTTAACTCTATTTGTGGAAAAGCAAATAATAAAGCTTCATTGTCATTATAATTCAGAGAGAGGCATAGTATAAGGAAATCCTAGAGGGACATAATAAAACTAAGCAGAATTTGCTTTTGAATTAATAAAACATTAGTATAATTTTGTAATAGTCAAAAAATATATATTAAGGGCTGACTATTTGAAGGCTACATATAACTGGAGACAATATAAATTAAATATTTATTTGAATAAAGTCTAAGAAAATAATGAGTCAGTAAAAATGACGTCATTTTTCTTAACAAATTCCTGGTATCGTATATATGTTTTGAAAGCTATGGCACACTAACAGCTCAATAGAAAAAGGAGGAGGTTCAGTATTGGCCAAAAATGAAGAGAATCAATAATTCTCTTTATCTGAGTGGCTGAAACAGTAGTAAACCAGGGTATTATTTTAATAATGCCCTTAGCACTAGTAATGATTGTAATAGTGGGAGGAGGTGGAAGTGGGAGGCAGCAATAGAGAACGCACCCACCTATACAAGGTCTGAAAAGATCAAAAGTGATCAGCTTCGTGGACCTGTTTCAGAATCTCTCTGACAATGCCTAAATGATCTAGGTCTAGTTGTGTGCATGCTCTCCCTCTGGTGCCTGGCGGAGTCTCCGTGGGAGCATGGAGTACCAGCTTAAGTCTGTTAATTATGCGTGCAGGGACTGGGAGGCCAACAAAAGGGGCATACTAGTCCATGTGGGATGAAACAAAGGCATGAAAAAGGACCTCCACACCAGCAAGAGAGAGAGGTGAGGGCATACTCGGGCTGTATTTCTATAGTGGTTCCAAGCTCATTTCACTGTATGAAGGCATGTAATTCAGTTATCAAAACCAGTTCAACTCTATTCCATCTTCCACTCTAAAAATGATCTTTTTAAAGCATTACATCTTCATTCATCTGCAAGTTGGAGTGAAATAGTCACAAACTGTCATGAATTTAATTTCTGATATTCTTAATTTGTAGCAATATCTTAAAAGCAATGACATTAAAGTTCCTTATGTACTTGTGCAAGCATTAACAGTATAACAAGGGCATATTCAGCATTCTCAAAACAATTATTATAAACTGTATAGCTCATCCTTTCAAATAAATTCCCTTTTAACTTTTTAAAATAATATAACCCTTATACACTGATTTTTATATCTCCCTATCATTTTGCTTTTACTAGTGTGACCTGTCATTGCAGCCTTCAAAAATCCTTTATCACATATGAAAGACAACAAAACCTGCCAACTGGAGACTGTAGTCTCATCTTCTGGTCTCCCCAAATTACTTATCTACAGAAGAGAAATAACTGTCTTTTCATTTTTTGAAATATTTTTCTTCTTCATTGCATTCCTGTACACTGACCATTTCATATTCCAACAGGCCAGTTAAAGTTTTAGACCCCTCCATTTAGTCCCAGCCACCTGTGTAACTCAGTCTTTGTCCATAGCACGGCATAAAACGTGGCTTATTTATACTTACTGGAAGGAAGAAAATAACTTTTGAGGAAGGGCAGGATACTCTACATCCTGACTCTAGCATCCAAACAATCAGATCTTGAAGAAATTCTCTAAACTTCAACTTTCTCAATTGAAAAAGAATAAAATAATACCTATTAACATTTTCATTGTGAGGATTTAATGAGATAATATATGGAGAGAGCCTGGCAGAATGCTAGGCATATGTTAGGTAATGATAATAAGAGGTGACTATTATCATTGTTATTTTTATAGTAGCAGAAATGATAATGTCAAAAACAAATACTGGGTCAGAGCTTAATATGTTTGGGCTTGCACTGGATCACTAGTACCTTGAATAGTGTTTGGGATGTATTACTGAATGACTCCTACAGATATTCAAATTAACTTGAGTCTTTAGTTTTGGAATTAAAACAAACAAACAAACAAACAAAACAAAAATAAAAAAAACAAGTAACACTTTTTATTTTATAACCTGGGAGGGCAGAGAAGTAGGGTTTAGAAAGAACAGTTGTAATCTATCTCTATGGAAACAAATTTTAATGCCAGGTTTTGCAGATGTGTGAATTAAGTTTTTTTTTTTTCCTAATCATTTTTGTTTGGTAGTAAATTTATTAGTGCTCAGCTACTCTTCAGGTTACTTTGTCTATTTAAATATTTAAGTTTTAACATGAATATTCTAAACCCCAGGAAATTTTGAGATATTAAGAAAAAAAAAAGACCTTTACTTATTTGATGTGACTTAATCCTATGTTGTCTATATCTGACCCACATATTTTTAACTCTTCCAATGGATGGGCCCATCAAATATATTTATTTAAGGAATGACTTAGACTATTATTTTAGTTGTTAGGTTTTAACGTCCTACAGTGTTTTTTAGAAGCACATCCTTCAAAATACTATGTCTCTGTTTTTGTAGAGAGAGATTTTTGCTATAGACCACACATACTTGCTACAGATACAGAGAGAGAGAAAGTGAAAAATCATCCCCCGGGGGGATGGACATGCCCCAATCCCGTCTTCCCCATTTTCTTCCTGGGATTTAGGGCATGCACATACATAACCTGGTGTGTTTCACGCCTCTGGTGTGTTTCAAGCCTCTAGGTCAGGGACTTGAACTGCAGTCGACCATTCAGGAGTCCAGCACCTTAACCAGTACACCATCTGCTGGCCCCATGCCTATTTGTTTTTTAATTGACAGAAAAAATTGTTACATGTTGGCAGTATGTCTTTTGTTTCAAATGATCAAAAGAAGGCTTTGCATAACTTTCTATGTAGAATTTTTTTTTCTGCATCTATCTTTACTGTATAAAACATGTTAAAAAGAGCTAGATTTTTAAATCCTACAATTGTAGGAAACCTTAGGTATCTCCTTATTTACTTGGCAAGAAAGCTGAATTCCCAGAGAGATTAAGAGAGCTGTTTGAAATCACTAGCTAGTTAGTGTCAAGACATTATTTCTCCCCAGAGAATCCCTATTAATTTTCTTGTACTTTTTATAATGTGTGTAAGACTTTTTAACACTTAAACATTCTCCCTAAATTTCCACCTGTTTTTCTTTCAACTTTTAGTGTGTAGTTTGCCCAGACACTTCTAGCTCCATCATGGCCTTCTGTCTATTCTTGCTCCCTAGAGATTTAACTGTTTCTCACTCACAGTTAAGTCCTAAATACCCAGAATAACACTTTTTTCCCTTCTTTAGCCTAATGGTGGGGTCTGGAGAGCACAGAAGTGTGAGTATACATCCACACCCAACAGAACATAGCCTGAAATTTCCAGAATTTATTTATGTTAATTATGCGTGCAGGGACTGGGAGGCTAGCAAAAGGGACATACTAGTCCATGTGGGATGAAACAAGGCACAAAAAAGGACCTCCACACCAGCAAGAGAGAGGTGAAGGCATGCTTGGACTATATTTCTATAGTGGTTCGAAGCTCATTTCACTGTATGGAGACATATGATTTAAATATTTTTTAAAAAGTATTTATTTTATTTTTTATTTTAAATTTGCTATATGGCATGTGTGCTCAATGAGAGAGACAGAGAGAAAGTGAAAAAGCAAGCCACCAGACCTGGGACTCAAACGGCGTTAGGTCATGGGAATCCAGCACCTTAACTATCATGCTACATCTTGGCCCCTGCAATTCAAATATTAAAGCCAGTTCAACTGTATTTCATCTTCCACTCTAAAAATTATCTTTTAAAAATTATGATCTGGGGACCAGCAGTTAACGTAATGGCTATATCGCTGGACTCCCATGTAGTCGACCATGGTTTGCGTCCTGGACCCGGTGGCTTAAAACTCACGCCGGGCGTGTGTGCGTGCGTGCTCAAGATCCCGAGAGGAGAATGGAGGAGAAGGGACTGCGGCATGACCATCCCCCCTGGGGAGTGATTTCTCGCTTTCTGTCTCTCTGTCTCTGTCTGTCTGGCGAGCGCACGTGCCCTATAGCGAAAACTTCTCAAAAAAAAAAAAAAAGGATAAAAAAAATTATGATCTGTAACATAATCTTTTATTATATTAAAAGGTATTAGATTGCTGGAACCAGCAGTTAGTGTAATGGCTGTCACTGAACTCCCATGTGGTCAACTGCAGTTCGAGTCCTGGACCTGGTGGCTTAAACTCAAGCCGGGCGAGTGTGCATGCATGTCCAATATCCCAAGAAGAGAATGGAGGAGAAGGGATTGCGGCGTGGCCATCCACCCGGGGGTGATTTCTCGCTTTCTGTCTCTCTGTCTCTCTCTTTCTGGCGAGTGCACAGCAAAAACCTCTCAAAAAAAGAAAAAGGTATTAGATTGTTAAATAAAGTTCTTTTTTTTTTTTTTTTTTTTTGTTAGGTTTTTGCTATAGTATAAGTGTGCTCACTAGAGAGACAAAGAGAGTGAGAAGGAAAGTGAGAAATTATCCGCTGGGGATATCATCATGCTGCAATCTCTTCTCCTCCACTCTCCCAATGGGATTTAAGGCATGCATGTACTTGTACCTGGTGTAATTTTCAAGCGTCCAAGTCTGGGACTCAAACCATGGTCAGACATATGGGAACCCAGTGCCTTTTTAAAAGGCCCTAAGTAAAGTTCTTTATGAATTGTACAATGACACAAATACATAAATATAGGTCTATACAAAGGATAATGTATTAGATTGTCAAAGAAGTCATGATGCATTTTTTCCGTTTTTCTATGCAAAAATGGGTCATGTCTTTTTTGACAATCTAATATTATAGTATGGTTAGATACTATATAACCTATTACCCCCCAAATGTATGTTTACTCCAAGAATATACAATGTCATTAGTGTAATGGCTACCTTAGATATATATTAAATAACTGTAATGTATTAGCTTTCAAATAAAGTTTCTAATTCTGAAATTAAATTTTGCATAGTGTAATGCTTTTTCTAAATAACAAGTATAGGTATTATATAATCAAAATTTCATGTGTAAGGACTATATATTTCCTTTGATAAAATTAAACTATTTTAGCATACTATGTACTGCTTGACTTACTTTAATTTCATTTTAGAGTTGTTATTTTTATGATTTCTACCTGCATGAGGCATAGATTTTAAAAGTTAACACTGGCATTTGTCAAGCAATAAATGAGTTTAAAGAAAGTTTTCTAGGTAGAATTTAAATTTTAGCTATTACCAGTATAACTTCTATTGATTATCACTTATAAATTTTCTTAAAAATCTGTTTTATCATTTGGATTCTGTTTCATTGTATTAATATTGTGTCATTGTTCCTTCTATTGGAAGAAAGTTGTATATTCTTTTTAGGTTCTAAAAGACTTAAAAAGGCTTATTGTTTCTGTCCAGGACTCACAGTGCATAGGAAATATTTTATTTCCTTCTTGGAAAATTTTGCATTGTAGTGAAAATGTACAGTATTACTAATTTACAGCATTTTCATGTGTACATTTTCCCTAGCTAGGAACATAAACCCAAAACACCATAATAAATCCTGTGATTTTTTTATCATTAATTTTTAAGGTAAATAGTTTATTACCTATAAAACAAAGGTTAGAGTCTGCCACAAAATACATTGTAATATTTTCATGTATATGCTTTATGAATTTACAAATTTATATTTGGAGGTATATTTGCAGGTTAAAACTTTGGAATTTATAGCTTTGGAATCTGTTATGTATTTCTTTATATAAGTAGTTTTATTAAATACTTTAAAAAATAAATTATTGATTTTATTTGATATTTTTGATGGTGCACTGCAGATTATTTTTATACTTAATCCTTGTGATAAAATGTGTACTCCATATACTGGGTTTTATATTTTATGGCACCTTTAACTTGTAGAAGCTGTCTTGAGGTCTAGCTTTCAGAACACAACATAATTAATGTAGTTACTAAAGTGGATTTTTTAGGGTATTCCTAACGGTTTTAATTTTTCATTTAAAACGTTTTGGAAAAAATATTTTCAAATAAGTCCACAAAACAACTATCTGCCCTAAAAACTCTTCTCAGTCTTATCTACTTTTGTCAGAATTCTTTTCTCTTT